AACTCACCTTTTACATTATTCGTTTGAAGATGCTATCTACTTCAACTCACTTAATAAAGCGTTTTGTTTTATCCTGCATCCTTCCCCACTGGCTTTATGCATCCCCTATTATTTTTCCGGGTCTTTAATCAAAGACTTCAAACTCATACGCACATCCATCAAACACGTATATCGATACAGCGGCATATCCCTTGAGTATGCTGTGCAGTTTATTATTTCACAGCACCTTAGGGCATGCCAGAAACTTTCTACCAGAATTTACCTGCACCTTAGTCAATGTATCTCCACATCTAGCACTCGTTCCATGTATAAACATATATCAGCACGCACCACTACATACAAGTCTTCTATAATACCGTACCCGGCACGGTTTCTTACCAACGCTGATCTTGCCATTGGATCTGTTAGACAAAATCTTTGCTAAATTGGTTTTTTGTATATGTAACGTATCATCATATGTTTTGTTATCATGTAATTTCCAAAGAGTGATTGTGTAGTAGCTGGATGTTCCTCCCCTATAGGGAGAATTAAAGCCGCTTCTTGACTTGACTTGAGGACGGTATCGAGTGTTCGGTTGAACTGTCCAAACAGATATCAACAGCACATTGATCGGTAAAACTCTCCGGTTGAGAACTTCCCACCTTCCATAGAATCTATAGCGGTAGCTCTCCGTCTGTTGAGATCCCCTGCCATGGTATATCTTTACGAGAGGGAGTTTTATGAGCTAAACAGACGAAATTTCCAAACTTCGTAGGGTATCAATGATATGAACCTGAAGATTTGTTTCCTAAACTTGTTACGCTGCAGCAAGATGCAATAAAAATGGAAGCTAAATGGCAGTGGTGGAGGATGTGAATCGATTACATGGTGAACTTTGTCGTGTACGGAGCGAATGAAGTGTGAACTGAAAAGCATAATTTCACGTATTGATCGAACTCTTGCGACATTCAAGCTTTTGCCAATTCCTTCTTCCAACGCTTTGTGTTTTAAGTTTGATTCAAGGGAGTGAATATGATAGTACCCCCCCTCCCCGCCCCCGCGCAACATATCTGTAATAATATCTACTTGTGTTTTGTGCGATGGAAATGGTTGTAATAAGCAACAAAGAGCACTGGACAGCTGTTTCGTCCTGTTTGGGACTCGTCAGCAGTGCGTGCTGTTTTTGTCTCATTTTTATGTTTAAAACAATTTCTAGGGTAGCAAGTTTGGATTAGTCCATTTACGATCTCCCAAGGAGTGAAACCCACACCGAACATCATCATCATCATCCAAACATTCACCATCTAAATATCTACTTATGTTTTGCTTCTATTGGGTAAATACTCTAAAAAAAAGTACGATTTCGACGATACTGGCTGGTGCATCAGTTGTAAGATAGCAAAGCCTCAGCAGAAATCAATTACATAAATGATACAGGTACTGTGATTTCATTCTGTTAATACCCTATTTGCCCTTCTTTATTTTTAAGCACTAGGGTTAGTTGTTTTTGCATGGAGTCGACCAAGCTGACTATGAAATGGTATTTGTCATCACAGAATCAAAAAGTCACATTCCCGATGGTTTAGGTCACTATTTTTTTTATTACACACTTTCATATGATAAACAGCATACCCACCCACCCCCCATGGTCACGAGGACCTACTGTCCAGTGATGGAAACCGGTAGCCTAGTCCCCGGGACTTGGAGTGGTGAACCGGACAACAGCAAAGTTGCCTACCACCAAAGTTGGGTAGCGGTGGCGGTGATCGAACCTCGGACCACAGGGTCCTGTGTCAGTGACTAAACCACTGCGCCACCACCACTAGGGAGGATTTGAGGGTGAGTGTGAGGTGTGACGTCCGCAACATGCTTGCAAAGTCGGATTGTGTTATATCCTGTATCAAGAAAACGAAGAACCGTCCGATCAGATGTCCAGTGGCCGATCGGGTAGTATGCTTGTCTTCTATTTATGCCGAGTTCCCGGGTTGGATGAATTTTCACAGCTGATGAGACTCAACAAGGTGGACACAGCTGTTCAGTGCATACTTCGTTCGCTCTTTACTCGAGGAAATTCTCTACAAAAAAATGGGAGTATTTACCACGGTTAACTTACTTCCTCTGCCCCTTCCTCCAGGGCAGACTGGGCGGGCATCTGCAGCCGGACTGTGTCCGTGTGCAACCCGTAATCTCCATATCGTCCGGCGGCATCTGACCAATGCAACTGATCCAGATTGTTCATATCCATGAGCAAGTCGGCCCAACCGGAATAGTCCGCGGCCAACAGGCGAGCCTCCTCCAATTTCTGAAGATGACCCTGACCAGTCTCGGTCTGTGCGTACTGAGCCACTAGTGAGGCTAATCGAGCCACAGTCCGAGCGAATAGAGCCATCCAGCAACGTAAGTCCAAATGGCGCTCCGTGTTCGAAGGGTGCGAAGCACGGGGATAGTCGTCTAGACCTAGAAAAACAGAGGTCGGGTGAAACAATATTTTTAAAAAATGTGTGCAGTTCGCAAACCGAACCTCATCTTCCAATACCTTCATTTTTATGCAGATGTTTTCTGTACAATCTATCTCCAACGCTTAAGTATGTGTCAAGTCCCGGAGGCGGAGAAATACTCAAAGTCTACGGCCAGCAGAACAGTAATCTACGCAACGCGTCTCCAGGTCGCGATCGAGAGAAAAGCCATGGAGGTGACTAACTGTGAACGAGTGTGCATTGTTTCGCTGAATAAGCGGTCGCGCATAATCAGGGGCGGTGTCAGTGGACGTGATGGCTTGTCAGACTGCTAAGCCATCTCTCTGCGACAAAACGCCGCATATGGCCAGAATGCATTGTGACATGTGCGAATCTGGCCTGAAAGCAACCAATATCATCGCTATCATCCTGCCGTTCACCAGTTGGCAGTTGACTGTGCAAAGGTTACAGGCGCATCCTGAAAGAACAAGATCTGGTGTTACTGGGACTGGGGCATTATACCGTATACTCACGGATTCGACAGCGGAGGTCTGTAAAATAGCCGCATACAAACACCAGGACGATTGAATTTCGAATTAAAAACCGGAATTGGGTCGCCCCCACACAACAACCCCAGGAACATACACGCACAAATTCGTCATGTGACACGAGTTGAGAACACTTGCTGCTACGCGTCATTGTGAACGCTTCAGGGAACAGCGGGCTCCATAGCCAAGTAATCGGTCTGTTTACAGCATAATAATCTCCCAGGGTTATGAGTTAAGCCCGTCAGTGTTGAATGTTCACTTAGTTGGAGTGTGCAGAAATAGCGAAAGCTTCCCTTCTGACTAAAGGCTATTTTCGCGGGCCTAATCGAGAATGGATAAAACTGTATCATTCATTTGCACAAGAATAATCAACAGCATGAGGATAAGACCAGCACTTTGTGCGATCAGGATCGAATTTCATGTGCGAACAAAATCATCGTGGAACGAGAGCGTTGAAAGAGAAAAAGGAGATTATCGGTTATCAGTACTGCGCATTTCTCAGCAACAGTCTTCTCTGGCATTCTTTATTACATGTACCCAATGTTCCAGGCCTTGAGGTCGAAAATATGCGCATATTGGCTGAACGTTCGCTGCATTACTATGTGTATATCTTTAGAGAAGCAGAGGCTAATAGGAATAACAGCGCATCCAAACTGAATTACCGGAACTCAGAGTGAGTGGATTAAGCTGGTGAATCTCATGCGGGTCTCGCCCTTTCCAATAGTAACTGAACGGAACAGAGCCTGCCTGAGTCCGGTTGAACCATTGATACCATGTGTGCAAGCGAGGAAGAGCAGTCAAAGACCACTGACGGAATCGAGCCACCTCAGCGGAGGAGAATTTTGGTAGCAGATCGATCAGAGCCTGATGTGTACGAGGTAGGGAAGACAACGCAAATACCGGAACCAATGAGAGCGAGAAATGGCCATGTATGAGTTGCTTCACCCTAAGTGAATTG